AAGATTAATCATGCATGCACTGCTTGCTACTGTGATTTGCCATCGTTAGCATTCAGAAACATCTGGAACTTTGCTGTACTTTCTTCGCTGTCAGGGCAGCTATGTTCGTTCAATCTTGGGCCCTCCATGCCTTAAAAAAACTGTAAAAATTCAATTCAGGGGTACCTGGGTGGCTCAGTCGGTTGAGTGTCTGACTTTGGCTCAGGTCACGATGTCACGGTTCGTGGGTTCAAGCCCTGCGTCGGGCCCTGTGCTGATAACTCAGAACCTGGAACCTGCTTCGGATTCTGTGTCTCCCCCTCTCTCTGCCCCTCCCCCACTCGTTCTCTGTCTTCCTCTCTCTCAAAAAAATGAAAAAACATTAAAAAATTTAAAAACTTAGATTTTCTGAGCAATTGTTGTGCACTGCGTTATGCAATCTTTCTTGAAAACTTGTGTTCATTGTTTAATTCATATTGTAGCTTTTTGTGAACACAACGATGTCTTATTTCTCGACAATACCAGACAATAAGATAATATAGTAGATTCTTTTTGAGCAGAGATAAACCACATACTCATAAATGACTTAGTTCTTTTGTTTGGTTAATGTTTTGTTTTCATTACCAGGCTAATTGCTTTAACATATTTGTCTGGTTGTAGAGAGGTGGCCTTGATAATGAAGTACAAATAGTTTATAGTGTGTTGTGGCACACTATCTGATGGCTTTTATAATTTTAAAGCCTAAAATATCTACTGTAAGAATGGGAGCCGGATTGTGTTAGCAGATTTCTTTTTCATTTAGTCTGGGTCTGAGAGAAACCTGCTGGGTATAGGATCCGTGATGAGTAGGAGGGGTTGTTCCTGCCCTCAGTCCTGTAGGACTCCATGATTTTGGTTTATAGACTCTTAGCCTGCCCCTCACACGTGTTCACATCCGTGAGGTCGTCGAGTACCTGCAGCGGGGGGCCCGGGACGCATGTTGGGTTCGGTCTCGCTGCAGACTAGCTCTGGTCTTCTGCAGGAGAGTTTAGACACATCACCGCCCCCTGGACTCTGGTTTACTTCCGTCCGAAAATTGCCCATGAACGAGCGTCCCGGCACCTCTTCCCTCTCTCATCTTCCAGTATTTTGGGATATACCGAGTTTATGTCCAGGTTTTATTCTCTTTTTACTTTGGAATTCTGAGTACCCAGTCTAATGCGTTGAGCTCTGCGTTATTTCTGAACATCCTCCGCGTAATGGATTCGGGGCGACTTTTCTGGACGGGGGTAGTAGTTGTTTTCGGAGCTCAGCCCAACATGCAGTCTTCTGGGTCTAGATGGGAAAACACTTCTCAGAAACACTGCACCCTATCCTATCCTGTCCTATCCTGTCCTGTCCTGTGCTGTCCTATCCTAAAGTGCGCATGTGGGGTGTCTGGGTGGCTCAGTCGGTTACGCATGGGCTCAGCGTTGGCTCAGGTCATGATCTCATGGCTTGTGGGTTCGAGCCCCGCACTAGGCTCTGTGTGGACAGCTCGGAGCCTGGAGTCTGCTTCGGATTCTGCGTCTCCCTCTCTCTCTGCCCCGCCCCCACTCACACTCCGTCTCTCTCTCAAAAATAAACATTAAAAAAAAAAAAAAAAAAAGTGAGCGTGTGAGGCCAGCCACTTTGTCTCCCGCGGCTGGACCCTGGGGTGTCTGAGTAAGTCCTCACCTTTGGGCAGTGACCTTTGAGGTATCGAGTACGCCCGGCAGTTGCTTCCATGGAATTTTCTTTTCCCCTTTTACGTAATCTTAAAATCGTCTGCAAGAAAATAGCATCCAGGCCTTTATTTTCAAGCTTCAAAGCTTGCTTGAAAAACAAAGGTTTCTTTTCTGGGGAAATTTGGAAGGCTGTTTGAACTCGTGTGTCAGAATGATTGGGCTTTAAAAATGCCATTTGGAGGTGGCAGCTTCAGTCCCTATTTATGAAATGTCACCGGGGGCCCAGTCGGGTGTCAGAAAGCAAGCAGGACATTACCAGAAGAACAAGACCTGTTTCTTGGCGTAACCAGTAGCTTTCATTCCTTTTTCCCCATGAGGTCCTCAGAGCAGGAGCAGCCCCAGGGAAGGTGGGCAAGGTTGTCGTTAATCCTATTTTCCAGAGGAAACTGAGGCCCGGCGAGGGTTCAGGACTTTGTCAGGAAGGGATGTAGCCAAGCAGGGGCCCGACTCCCGGCTCCCCGACTCACATAGGTGGCCGTCTTTGTGGGCACACGAGCCGGTTACATCACGTGGTCGCAGGTATCGGCGCGGTCGGGATTCAGGGATGGGGATGGGATTGGGAAGGACCTGAAGGACCAAGGGAAGAAGACCTCGGACTTGTTGGAGCGGAGTCGATGGCGGGGTGTGCGCGCTGGGGGTGAGCGCCGGGACGGCCTCGGGGAGGGGACAGCGTTGTTGTCCTCTTACCAGGGGAGCCGTCTCTGTGTCTTGCTGCGTCTTGAGAGTTCCTGTGGCTGTCAAACTGCTGATGGGACTCACTTTTGTGACATCCGTGCTCCTCCATCTGCGAGCGTGTCTGACGGCCTCTATTGTCTCCTACCTTGGGCTGTTTTCCTGTTTTAAAGGTTATTAAGCCTTAGGAGGAGATTATCAGACAATTTCCTCATCAGAAAGAAGTGAAATCACGAGTTGGCACGGTCTGGTCTCTGCGGTCCCCCGCGGGTTCCCCTCTGGCCAGCTTCCCACCTCCGGCAAGGGAAATGAGGAAGCCACACGAAAAGCCCTTTCATTCCTTTGGGCCTGAACTTTCCACCAGGATTTCTTCTCTAGAGTTCTTGTAGCCACTCCCACGCGCAGAAGGCCCCCTTGCCTCGTACCGTAAGTCTGCCGGGGAGTATCTGGCGAGTTCCCCTTTCCTGTAGGACCTTCCGGCAGGACTCCCCTGTGGCTTGTGTCTTCTCGTCACCGGGCAGGACTGGCGACGACTGACGCTCTTCTCTAGTGCTTTTCAAATGGCCAGAGGTCCACTTTGGTTTCGTGTTTCCCTCTGAAGAACGCCCACCGCGTCCTCCTTGGCCATCCAAGTGGTTTTCAAGCGGTTTGCAGCGTCAGTGGCAATGTCCGTAGGTCTTACTTTCCACGACCCCGTCTACATGCCGATAGATGTAAGGGGCATGCCCTGAGGTACTGAGCAGAGGTCGAGTGAGCACCTCCCAGCCCTTGCACGGTGAGTATGTGGATGTTCAAGATGGCAGCCCTCCCGCCCTCACTCGTGGTCTCGTGGGTGAAGTGCAGACAGACACTTGCCACAGGCCGGTGGAACAGCAACGTGGATGCCCAGAAGAGAGAGCACCCAGTGTTTTTGCAAGGTCTGGAATATCCTGAGCTGTGCTGCCGTTTGATTGGTTGTTACGGGGGTGGAGAACCTGGGAGTGGATGGCTGTCCACCTTGATTCCAGACTCTGATTCAGGGTACGGTAGAGACGAGTTTGGACTTTGGAATTGAAGACCTGAATTTGGGTCTTGTTTGTGCCGTTACCAATGTGCTCCTGGGGGGATTGACAGGGATCGCTGGGGAAGAAAAGTGGTGGGGAGCGAGCAAGCCTCAGTGAAGTCAGTTCGAGGAATCGTGGTAACCCGGTTTTGGTCCCGGACAATTTCCTGGAGCCTCTAACTCCTGCACAGTCCCAACCACCAATGCATAGTGCTGGCCCTCGGAGAGGACGTGCACTTCCTAGACTTCATTTGGATGATTTCTAAAGCGCAGAGCATTTTGTCAGGTTATGATTCTACGAAGCATACTCGGGAAACACGGTCATGACCCATTTCTAGCCATTAAACCTATTAATCTGTGCACGTTTTTTTGTTTGGTTTTGTTGTTGTTGTTGTTGTTGTTGTTGTTGTTGTTTTGTAGTTAGCACCACATTCACCTTTTGAGAAACAAAAGTTAGGCAGCTCTTGGACAGGGTGTTTCCATGGTGAGGGAAAGTAGACATTAGCTATTGGATAGGATAGAAAACTTGAGAAAGAGAAAAAAAGGATATGGGATCTCCAGACCCCTTTTAGTGCTCCAATTACATATGACTTTTCAAGGGGATACTTGACTGTTCGTTTCACAGATGAAGGCGCTGTTGACTCAAATTATGCTTGGTCTTCCGCCGACCGCCGTTATTTCGCTAACCACGATCGTTTGTTCCAGAACGCAGTCTTTACTTCGAACGTGTTGTTTTGGATTTTAAGTGATTGTTACAACACTGATACATGCTGAACAAAGAAAACCAGCTGAGAGTAGAGTAGAAAATGACCCCACATTTGGAAAAAGGGATTCTTTGGTGTTTTTTTGCGTGTAGGACTCTGCAGTTGTTGGACCAGATGCTCTCGAAGCTCAGCATTTCTGTGATTCTCTTGTGTCTCTGTGACGTTGCAGTGGCTTATGTACGTTTGAAGACATTTCTCCACCAGGTAGTTTGGTAGATTCGGCCACTTCGCCGCGTTATTTCAGATTATCTCAGAAAGTAGGCAGTAAGCACAGAGGGAATCCCCAACCTATACCGAGGCATATCCGGAGCACTGTTGGATGCTGGCTTAGAGAACATTCTTCGGTATCTGTCCGGGTCTAATCTAATGCTCCTTCAGGAACGATGGGCCAGGGAGACCCTGGACCAGGCCCTGCGGCCAGCTGCGCCCTCCCCGGCAGGTGGTTCTCCGGGTGCAGCCAGTTGCAACTTCCCCGGCAGGTGGTTCTCCAAGTGCGCGGGGCACCTTCCCCGGTAGCCGGTTCTCGGGGCGTGCGCTGTGCCTTCCCCCGGTGGCCGGTTCTCAGGGCGCGCCCCCAGGGACTGACGTGCGGCCCCCTCCTGACTGTGTCTCTTGCCTCCGCAGAAGGAAGACCCCCGGTGCACCATGAGGTGAGCGCGCTCGGGCGCCCAGAGCCCCGGAGAGCTGCGTGCGGGCTGCGGGAGCGGCTCCGCGCGTCTGGCCTCGCACGTCCCCGGCATGAGGCCGGGCAGCATGGGCGCGCCGCCGCGGGACCGCTGACCCCCGCCCGCCGGGACCATGAAGGAGGTGGCGCACTGGTCCCCCAGGAAGGTGGCAGACTGGCTGCTGGAGCACGCCATGCCCGAGTACTGTGAGCCCCTGGAACACTTCACGGGCCGGGACCTGATCGGCCTGACCCGGGAGGACTTCACGCGGCCGCCCCTGTGCCGCGTGTCAGCCGACAGCGGGCAGCGGCTCCTGGACATGATCGAGACCCTGAAGGTGGAGCAGCACATGGAGGCGCACAAGAACGGCCACGCCAACGGGCACCTGGGCGCAGGCGCGGCCGGCCCCGGCCTCCAGGCCACGCCCAACGGGGTGCCTAACGGCTACCGGAAGGAGATGATCAAGATCCCCATGCCCGAGCCCGAGCGCTCCCAGTACCCCATGGAGTGGGGCAAGACCTGCCTGGCCTTCCTGTACGCGCTGTCCTGCTTCGTCCTCACCACGGTGATGATCTCGGTCGTCCACGAGCGAGTGCCTCCCAAGGAGGTGCAGCCCCCGCTACCGGACACGTTTTTTGACCATTTTAACCGCGTGCAGTGGGCCTTTTCTATCTGTGAGATTAACGGCATGATCCTCGTAGGACTCTGGTTAATTCAGTGGCTGCTCTTAAAATACAAGTAAGTGGGAAGCGAAAGCTCTGGGCCGCGGCGATTGGAGTGGGTGGGGGAGCGGTCCGGGGGGCAGGCGTCTGGTGCGGGTTATTGGGCAGTGACGCTCAGCAGGAGAAAACCCTTGGACCCCTCCGGAGGGCACAGGCTCCTGCATCACGGAGGAGCCACCCAGCATTGGTGCCATTAACCCCCCAAATAAATCGTTGACTGACCCGTGTGCCGTGACGGCTGCGTGGCTTTTCCCACGCAGGGTCAGACACGCAGACCCTCAGCAGTAGGGGTTTAAGGACGTCTCGCACCCAGAACACAGGACAGCCGTTCCAGGGTGGCCTGGGCTGTTGGGAAGACGGCACCCTTGGGAAATGACTGTGCGTGAACCCGCACACGGCTTTCCACCGTCCAGAATTCACAGCACTTACAGTCACGTGGGGCTGTTCCACTGAGGCTTCTCAGGAGCTTGCACAGGCACCTCCTTTTGGTTGCCGCTGGGTGCCAGGTGGCTTTCGTGTCCTAGGCTGTGCACTCAGTACAGACCCCTCGGGCGAGCTGGTTCCCCGGGCCCACAAAACCCACCTTGCCCCCATCGTCGGTGTCTGGCTTTTCCATTAGTGGAACGTTTTCGTGTTGCATGCGTGGGAGCTGGGAACCCATTTGCGACTGTGTCCAGCGGACTGCGTTTCATGACCCCCAGTGTGGTTGAGTTCAGTTAAGGAGATCATCTGAAATCAAGGCAACCAAGTGCAGACAGAGCCTGTGCTGAACTTCTATCCAAGAAATGATGAGTTTTTTTCCTGGTATGTTTTCTTATCAATTCTTATGTAAAGATAGCATTTCTTATAAATTCTGTATCTGCCCGTGGAAGCGAACGCAGTTCCCCACCGCGTGCCGGGAAAGAAGGGCCTTACCCCTTTATAAGGGAAGTTGTTTAAGTGGCCGGTGCCGACTTTGGGGTTGGCCTGGCACTTCCACAGTAAACTGGGTTTGAAATACAAACCGTGGTCTGGGCTGCATTTGATTTGGCGGAAGACTTTCGTTCGCTTCGTTGTAATGGGCTGAGTAAGCAGCAGAGGCTCTAGAAATGTGAGCTGCTGCGAATTTACTTAATGCGTTTTTTTTCAGCTGCCAGACTTCACATCTGCTTTTGACGCAAAAGCCCATGAGAAGAAAATGCCAGTAGGATTTCTGGGTTTTGTCTGATCTTTGTTATTTTGTTTACCCTGAGTTTGTTTGCTGGTTTTTCGTAAAAACTCGCACATGCAAGTAAATGATTTACTGCCCCAGAATGAAACCCTGCAGATCAGTCAACACTGTGTACAAGTTCCAATCTTTCACTTTTATTTAACTACTTTTTAACTAGTCAATTAATTTTTTTTAGGACCGTGCCTTTTCGATACTGTGCTCTTGTTCTGGGACGTGTCCCAACCATAGGGCTCATTTCTGCAAAGTGTGTTGCTATTTACATTCCTCTGGGCTGGGACTTGTCACACCTGTTTTTCTTGAAGCTTTCTGATTCTATGTTTTCCTGGTACTTCCTGCCACTGCTGTGGTCCCTTGTGTACTTAACTTTCTCAGCAGCTGCGGATCTGTGGGTGCCAAGCCCCCAGTGAGCCCCCACATGCTGGATGTTGTGGGGGAGTCTCTAAGTCTCCAGAGCTTTGTTTTCCTCACGGATAAATTAAGGGCCTCCTAGTCTAGAGAGTTTCTGTTATCCTGCAACTGTGTTTTATTCGTTTCTAACATGGTTCCTTTTTTTTTTTTTTTTTTTTAAGTCTGTTTATTTTCGAGAGGGAGAGCACGTGGGGAGGGAACGGAGAGAGACAGAGAGACAACCGCAAGGAGGCTGGCCCCCCTTAGTGCAGAGCCCGGCGCGGGGCTCGAGCTCATCAACTGCTGGATCGCGATCTGAGCCGAAGTTGGACGCTTCACCGACTGGCCCCCCCCCCCCCACTGGGCACCCCTGTTTCTGACATTATTGAATGGGCCAGTTATGTTTAAACACTGTTAGCTGCAGAGCATTTTTTTGTCCGGAACACATCCAAGTAAAGATTCTCTGAAGTCTTCTCTCAAGATTCCATGTGGGCAGCTGAGGGAGGCCGGCTGTTGTCGTGACAGTCCAGCCCCTGTCCTGCTCTCCGTGTCCTTCCTCGGGAGGCCTCTCCTGAGCGTGTGTGGCACAGCGGGTGCGTAGGAGGCAGGGAGAGCGATGGAGCGGTTGGGAATGAACCGGCTCCCTTCCCCTGGCCCGCAGGAGGAAGAGGAAAACGTTCTGTAGAGTCCGAGAGCCCCCTTGTTTCCGGTGTGTGGCTCTTGTGGGGCAGCGGTTTTATTTATCCAGTGTGTTAGGGAAGCGGATCCTTCTGGTTCTGGAACGTTCTATGTAACAGAGCTAACTTGTCACTCTGTTTGTGCTCGACTCTCCCGATTCTTGCCCGGTGTCCCCAATGTGCAAGGGGTTTGCCGCCTAAGAGCACATTTTACACAGCTCCCAGGAGTGAGGCCCGTTCAGCCAGTCATTCCCACAAGGCATTTGACTTTCAGAGTGTCCAAGCCCTTCCGGGCGCCTGGGGGGCTCAGTCATTGGGCATCCGACTTCGGCTCAGGTCATGAACTCACAATTCGTGGGTTCGAGCCCCGCATCGGGCTCTGTGCTGACAGCTCGGAGCCTGGAGCCTGCTTCGGATTCTGTGTCTCTCCATCTCTCGGCCCCTCCCCTGCTCATGCTCTATCTATCTATCAAAAACAAATAAACATTAAAAAAAAAAGGTACTTAAAAAGAAGTAAAAGTAATTAGGACACATGAGAGCTGGTCTCAACAGGGTGCTGTCTTTGTGAAAATGCATCAAGCTATAGTTATAACTTGAGCACTTCGCTTTATCTATTTATGCTACACTTCAACAAAAAAGTTTACGTTTAGAAACCAAAATACTGGGGTGCCTGGGTGGCTCAGTTGGTTAAGCATTGACTTCAGCTCAGGTCATGAACTCACAGTTCGTGGGTTCGAGCCCCGCTTCGGGCTCTGTGCTGACAGCTCGGAGCCTGGAGCCTGCTTCGGATTCTGTGTTTCCCTTTCTCTCTGCCCTCCCCCACTCATGGTCTCTCTCTCTCAAAAATAAAGATTTAAAAAGAAAAAAAAGTCTCGGAGCCCTTCAAGGCATCAGCCTGTTCCTTCCTGCTTCTGTATCTTCCACTCCTCAGGGAAGGATCAGAGGCTGAAGCCATGGAGGATGATTGATTCACTGAGAGGTAACATCACTAAAATTTGGGCCACACCCCGTGATCACAAGCCCATCGGCAGGACGCGTGAGGTGCAAACCTTGACACGATATTGACACTGAGACGCATGCTGCCCTTCTGTCGCCTGTGGGTGTCCTTTACTGTTAAACAGAAGTTTAACTTAAGTAGTTTTTTACTTAAAATATTTTTTTGCCTCCTTAACACGTCCCCCTCAGGTTTGTATGTACGTGTGTTTGTATATACGTATATTCGCGTGGGATTTCCGTGACATCGCTAAGCGGAAGATAATAGTGCCCGTCCTTCGAAACTTTTTCTCCTTTTTTTTTTCTTTGCTTATTTACTTATTTATTTATTAATTTACATCCAAGTTAGTTAGCATATAGTGCAACAGTGATTTCAGGAATAGATTCCTTAGTGCCCCTTACCTGTTTAGCCCATCCCCCTTCCCACAACCCCTCCTGTAACCCTCAGTTTGTTCTCCATATTTAAGAGTCTCTATTGTTTTGTCCCCCTCCCTGTTTTTATATTATTTTTGCTTCCCTTCCCTTGTGTTCATCTGTTTAGTATCTTAAATTCTTCATATGAGTGAAGTCATATGATATTTGTCTTTCTCTGACTAATTTCACTTGGGATAATACCCTCCAGTTCCATCCACGCAGTTGCAAATGGCAAGATTTCATTCTTTTTGATTGCCGAGTAATACTCCATTTGTGTGTGTGTGTGTGTGTGTGTGTGTGTGTGTGTGTACACATACATACATACATACATACATACCACATTTTCTGTATCCATTCGTTGATGGACATTTGGGCTCTTTCCATACTTTGTCTGTTGTCAATAGTGCTGCTATAAACATGGGGCGCTTGTGTCCCTTCAAAATAGCACATCTGTGTCCCTTGGATAAATGCCTAGTAGTGCAATTGCTGGGTTGTAGGGTAGCTCTATTTTCAATTTTTTGAGGAACCTCCACACTGTTTTCCAGAGTGGCTGCACCAGCTTGCACTCCCATAGCAGTGCAAAAGGGTTCCTCTTTCTCCACATCCTGGCCAACATCCGTTGTTGCCTGAGTTGTTAATCTTAGCTATTCTGACAGGTTTGGGGCAGTATCTCATTGTGGTTTTGATTTGTATTTCCCTGACGATGAGTGATGTTGAGCATTTTTTCATGTGCCGGTTGGCCACCTGGATATCTTCTTTGGAGAAGTGTCTACTCATGTCTTTTGCCCATGTCTTCACTGGATTATTTGTTTTTAGGGTGTTGAGTTTGGTAAGTTCTTTATAGATTTTGGATACTAACCCTGTATCTGATCTGTCATTTGCAAATATCTTCTCCCATTCCATCGGATGCCTTTTGGTTTTACTGATGGTTTCCTTTGCTGTGCAGAAGCTTTTTATTTTGATGAGGTCCCAATAGTTGATTTTTGCTTTTGTTTCCCTTGCCTACGGAGACCTGTTGAGTAAGAAGTTGCTGGGGCCAAGATCAAAGGGGTTTTTGCCTGCTTTCTCCTTAAGGATGTTGATGGCTTCCTGTCTTACATTGAGGGCTTTCATCCATTTTGAGTTTATTTTTGTGTATGGGGTAAGAAAGTGGTCCGGGTTCATTTTTCTGCATGTCGCTGTCCAGTTTTCCCAGCACCACTTGCTGAAGAGATGGTCTTTATTCCATTGGATATTCTTTCCTGCTTTGTGAAAGGTTAGTTGGCCATATGTTTGTGGGTCCATTGCTGGGTTCCGTATTCCATTCCATTGATCTGAGTGTCTTGTTTTTGTGCC